GCCGACCATCCGCCTGCCGTTTATACGCCGCTGTCGCGACCTCGAGGTTTGCCTTCGCCGTCTCATGCGTGCGCCTCAAGTCCGCCATGAAGTCCTCCGCCCTCCGGTCCACCTGCTCTGCCGCCGGTAAACGTAACAAGTCCGCCGGCCCGCGCGGTCGGACCGCATACACAACCTCAAAAGGGGAAAGCCGAGTAGCCCAACTCACAGCCGAGTTATGCGCGAACTCAGCCTGACTTAAGCGTGTATCCCACGAACGCAAATTTTCACCCACCAAGCAACGTAGCAAATTCCCCAACGAACGATTAACGACCTCGGTCTGACCGTCCGTCTGCGGATGATAAGCACTGCTGAAATCCAACCTCGTATTCGCCAAGCGCCACAGACTCCGCCAAAAGAAACTAAGAAATCGTGTATCCCGATCAGAAACAATAGACGAAGGAAGGCCATGTAAACGATATACCTCACGGAAGAAAAGTTGTGCAACATGCAGGGCATCCGTGGTCCGCTTGCAAGGGATAAAATGGACCATCTTGGAGAAACGGTCCACAACGACAAAGATCGAATCATGACCCCGTTGAGTGCGGGGCAAACCAAGCACAAAGTCCATGCTAATCGCACTCCAAGGCTCCGAAGGAATAGGCAGCGGGCGATAGAGGCCAGCATTAGACGCCACCCCCTTTGAAATTTGACAAATGCGGCAGCGCTCGACGAAACGGGTGACGTCCCGACGCAAGGAAGGCCAAAAGTAAGATCGCCGAACAAGGTCAATGGACCGGTCCCGGCCAACATGTCCCACACCATGAAGCTCAGCAACCAAGCGAAAACGCAAGCTGCAATCCGGCAAGCAGAGTCTAGTGCCACGAAAAAGGAACCCATCGGAAAGAACGTAATCCTCCCACGGGCCGGCAGCAAGGCGCGTCAAAATAGGCCCGAAAAAAGAATCAGTAGCATAAAGGTCACGTAATAAGTCAAACCCCACGACCGAGACACGCAGATCGGTCAACAAGAGGGAGCAACGACTCAAAGCATCCGCCACGCGATTGGAAGCACCCGAGCGATGCTTCAACACAAACGTAAACTGCTGCAAATAGGATGACCACGTAGCATGGCGGGCAGAAATCCCACTTTGAGACCCAAGGTGACGCAAGGCCTCATGATCAGTAAACAGAATGAATTCCCGCTGAAAGAGGTAATGGCGCCAATAATGCACAGCACGGAACACTGCATAGAACTCGACATCGTAGGTGCTGTAACGAAGGCGAGCACCCGACAATTTCTCGCTAAAATAAGCAACCGGCCGTCCCTCCTGGCTCAAAACGGCACCAATACCAACCTTAGACGCATCACACGCAAGCTCGAAAGGCCTAGAGAAATCAGGCAAGACCAAAACAGGGGCCGAAGTCAGCTTTTGCTTGATAAGGTCGAATGCCGCAGCCGCCTCATCGGTCCACACAAAGGCTTTTCCTGTTATGCAATCGGTAATCGGAGCTGTGATCGTGCTGAAATGAGAGATAAACCGACGGTAAAAAGAAGTTAGCCCATGGAAGCTCCGAGCCTCAGTGAAAGATGTGGGAGTAGGCCAATCGCGAATTGCCGCTATCTTGCTTTCATCAGCTCGAATCCCCGAGGAAGAAATCACGAAGCCGAGAAATAAAACCGAATCAACAAGAAAGAAACACTTCTTCGGGGCGGCAAAGAATGACTCGGCACGGAGGATGAGTAGGACCTCTCGAACATGTCCCAAATGCTCCTCCACAGAGCGACTGTAAATAAGAATGTCGTCGAAATAAACGACGACACATTTGCCGATGAGATCACGAAGGGCCTGATTCATAACACGCATGAAAGTGCTCGGCGCGTTCGACAACCCAAATGGCATGACCAACCACTCAAAAAGTCCCTCGCGAATTTTGAAAGCGGTTTTCCACTCGTCACCCGGGCGAATCCGAATTTGGTGGTAACCACTCCTCAGATCCAGCTTAGTAAAGATCGAAGCACCATACCACTGATCAAGCAAATCATCGAGACGAGGAATTGGAAAGCGATAACGTACCGTGATTTTGTTAATGGCTCGGCTGTCCACACACATCCTCCAGGAGTTGTCCTTCTTGGGTATGAGCAAAGCCGGGACAGCGCAAGGACTTAAACTACGACGAACAAGCCCGCGCCGTAAGAGATCCTCCACCTGGCAACGTAATTCTTCATGCTCCGATGGACTCATGCGATAGTGAGGCCTGTTAGGAAGAGGAGCCCCAGGCACCAAGTCAATTTGGTGCTATATATCACGTAAAGGAGGCAGGCCGATTGGCAAGTCATCCGGGAAGACATCAGAAAACTCAGCGAGCAAAGGCCGAATCACTGCGGGAGGCTCGCGGTCAGAAGGAGTGTCCGAGCCCAAGAGCAAAAGAGTAAAAGGTGCGGATTGCATTTCCTGCTCAAAAGCGGCCCTGGACAGAAGCAAAACTGAAGATGGGGCGGGTGAAGAAGGAAGCCGAGGTGGACTGGGATGCAAAACAATTTTCA